AAAAAAAATAAAGAAAGAGTCCAATAGAAATACTCAAATACATACTGACAAAAAAAAAAAGAAAGAAAACAATCAGTGATTAAAACAGTTAACAAAAAACTGAAACCTACAATAACTTTATTTGATGTGTGGTAAAATGTAAAATTGTTTGCAGAACTATATGATAATATGCAAGTATACTTATTTATAAGTATAATGTATTTATAAAGAATATGTATTATTAATATGTACCCAATAAAAATATATTTTTAATTTAATATAAACAATTTTATTTTATTATATATTATAATACTATTATATTATTATATTAATTTTACCAAAATACTTTTATGATGAATATACAACGGAATATTTACCTTTCAATAACATTTCTTGTCCTGATTTGGCTTTCATTGTATAACTGCTGGCTTCGTGTGGTAGGATTCAGCAAAGGAGTCATTGGTAAGGCTTAACTTCGTAACCGCCGTCTCCTAATAGGTATCCTTTTATAATATCATTTTCAAATTTACTTTTGATTAAAGAGTTGTCAAAAATAATCTGATCATGGCAAGACCCTGGCCATCGCGCCACTATATCCATAATCTTAAGCCACGGATTACAAATACATTGTGTATTGATGGAAAAATAACCTTTCCTGTTTCGAAATGTTTCTGCATTATCTCCACCTACAATATTCAYTATTCATGACAAACCATTGTTTAATCATACAGGAGACAGGACACATTAATGCCAATATAATTTATAACAACATATATATTTTATAAGTTATTTGTCTACCTGGCGATTGAATTTTGATGTGAGTGCAATCCACAGCTCCGACCACTTTAGGGAAATTACTAAGGCTGTAAAATCCACTAAMAACTTTTCTCATATCAACAACATTTTTTGGAAAATAAATGAATTTTGATCTATGAATTGCTATGGMTCTACAAACTTGATGAATGTATCGACAAGCTGACGATTCACTGACACCAGTAAAGTCTGCGACAGTTAATAAAAATGATCCTGTTGCAAGGTATCTCAGCATCATGTATAATTTACATGGTGCTAATATAGCTCTGTTCCTGAAACAAAACATAATATCTTAGACGGAAGAAAAAAAATTCAGAATAGAGATAATGTTTTTTTTTKATAGCMACTATTTTTAACTGTAATTAAAAGTTACTAACCTTTGAGAAGGCGGAGATATATCTGCTTCTATTAATCTCAAAAGAGTTCGGAACGTTTCTTTAGAAATTCGAAATCTACATACAAAGTCATGGTTGTCATACAATTCCAAGTAGTTTACTCGCTCATAAAAAATTCGTGGTCGTCGTTGCAATGCAATAACCGCTTYGYCGATCTCGTCATCCTCATAATAATCAAATAATACTCTGTGATTCATATTTTTTTTTCATTAGGCCGGTTAAAAATTAAAGGCTTAAAGAAAATATCAAGTTTATAAAAACCATGACAAAAACAACAACATTGACGAAAAAAAAAAACCTAACCTATAACATTGAAAATCTAGAGTTTAGCTCGTTATTACCTAGAAATATCAGGAGTTAAATTCCGGGAGTCAAGATTTTCATTAACTTGGAGTTACCATCTAACTCGAGGTCGTGAAATACGTTTTTCTCGCTAACTCCGAGTTACCGATTACTCGCACTTTAACTCTAGGTGGTGAAACCGGCCAT